GGTGAAATAACAGGGTAATGTGTAAATTTGAAACCTCCTGCAAATAAGCGACTTTCATCGGACTCCTGCTCAGTTTCACTTTCGATTTTTTCATTTCTAGTTTTTGAAGATTCAGATATATGTTCTAGATCATTTCTCTCAGATTTTTCTTTAGGTGATAAATAATGATTTGGAGCAACTTTAGTTTCAATTTTAATATTATCCCCAACTTTAATTTCATTCTGTATTTCTTTATTTTCATTATCTGCAGTTTGTTTTAAACTATCACCAGGTGGTGGCATCACAAAATTAAAATCAAATGGTGGTTTAAGAGTGACTTGTTCACAAACCTCAACTTCTTCAGATTTATTGCTATGAACTTTGAACACACATGATTTTGGTTTCCTAGGTGCACTTCGCTGCATAAGCACTTCTTTACTAGGATATGTTTTCAACGGAGTTTTTTTCTGATTTTCAGTGTCTACAGGTTCTGTTTTTATAACAATACCAGGTTCAGATTTGATGGTGGCTTTTTTCTTATTATATTGTTTGGATGTACCTACACTTACTGTATATTCTCCTTCTGAATCAGAATTATCTAAAATATAATTAAATAAACATAAATATAAATCATATTACATTTATTTATTTATTATATGATATAAACTTGAATATAACATACTGGCCATAAAAGTAATACAATACATTGACCATTTAGTTAAACAAATAAACATTAAAAATTAAATATAATTTTTTAATATAACAATTATTAGGTAGTTGGTTGAGCAGAAAGAAATATGTAATTGAATGATCTGACAAAAGAACTTTGAAAATAATCAGCGAAAAGAGAGAAGAAAAATAAATTTCACAGAATCATTAAGAAAGGAATATTATAAAAATGATGAACTAAAGAGAACAAATTAAATTTACAAACAACTGGACATCATCATTCATCATGATAAAAAATTAAGAAGATAGTTGACAGAACAAGTTTAATGGATTAATTCTTATATTTTTGAAATTTTCACCAGAGTTTTTATTTTGATCATTAATTTAATTAATATTGTTTTAGAAATACATAAATAATTTTTTTTGTTTTTTGCGTATGGCGCTTATGTTCGAGAGTAGGCCTGAAAGCCTAGTTTGGACGTCTATTTGGTAGAATTATTAGTTGGGCACCTGTATGTTTCTGCTATGCTCGGTTGGGGGATGGCAACCTTGCTACCTAGATAGTTGCCTGCCCAGAAAGCGATGCCACCCTTAACTGGGATTTGAACCAGAGACTGTGTGTGTCATAATCGACGCCTTAGTACGCTGGCTACTCCGTCCCCCACATAAATAATAATATATTTAAATTAATTAAATTTGTTAACATTAGGTAGAATTATAAATAATTATTTAAAGATTAAATAACTAAGAAGATTAATATAATTTGTAAGAACTTTTTTATCATTATTACTTATTTTACTAATTTTTAATCATTAAAAGGTTGCACAGAAACAACAAATTAAATTTTCATAAATATTTTATCATTTTACGATAAATCATTTTTAATAGAAAAATAATATTCAAATAATCTAAACATAACATAACTAGTAAAAACAATAGCCATTATCTGCAATTGGTATATAACGTTAGTTGTTTGTTTTTAACTATCTATAACCCATCTCACAAAAAAGAAGTATTGTTTCACACATGTATATTAAGTAATGAACCGGTGTCAGGCCAAATATAGTAGGGGTATAAGATGTGGAGCGGCATAAGGAAGCATACGAATATTTAATATTTATCAAGATGTGGTACCTTTCTTTTGTTAGACTATGTGTTTTTATAAAATTTACTTACCAATATTGAATAATGGACGATCTGTCAAAGTACATGTTCTAGTTGGTCGAGCACTACTAAAAGGTGATTTTTTTATATTCGAATGTGATGTGAGTGGAGTAACTGACCTCCTAGTTCTACCAGTTGTCAATGGTACCTTTTTGACATCCACACTTTTTTGCTAAAAAAAATATTAATATTGTTAGTTGTAGGTAGAATCAATAAATTTTTTTTTTTACTTATATATATATATATATATAATATAATAATAATGAAGTATGAACATTTAAGTATTAATGAGCACAATTGCAATTCACAAAACTGAGTTACAATATTAATCTAGTATGCCACTCACATAAATATATTAGAAGTCAATTAATAATATTTTTTTTTAATAATTTATACGATAAAAAATACTATTGTACTTGGTTTAATTCTTATAAAGAAATTTATGTTAAATGATTTGTTATTAATAAAAAATTGCACATACTTTTCTATAAAAATAAAAATTATATCATAGCAGACAAATTTTTTGGCGTATGATTAATTTATTTAATAATATGGATTATCTTGTAATGTAATATACATCAATAATATAATATATTTAAACGTATTTAATAATGATCATTTGTATTTACAAAAAAAAAATTTATAGTATTTTTTTTTATTATTTTTTCTTTTTAATAATATCCTATGTATACATGATTATAAATTTTAATACAATATAAGTATTTGACATTGTATTATGACAGAATTTATGAAGAACTTTTGATCAATTATGTATTAAGATTTGAAAATTTAAACAATTAAAATAGGGGGTACACAACTTCAAAAAGCACACAAAAAAAAAAAATGTATACTTAACGTTATTTACTTTAAATTATTAATAGAAAAATAATATTCTAAAAAAACTTAATAAATTATATTTATATGAATTCAAACATTTCATTTATATTAACTCAACAATTAATTTTAAAAACATGACTCTTAAATGTTAAAAACAAATCTAAAAATTTAAATTAAAGATAATTATTTTATAACAACCAAAAAAATCTTTGACTTTTATTATACATACTTCTGGAGGACTACTTTTTGAAGAGTCTGCATCATTATCAACACCAGGTTCTGGATCCTTAGTTTTGTAAGCAATACGCATAACATCTATCCATTCATCATAGCGTGAATTCCATCCTTTATAATGTACGTAATATTTCATTACTCCTTCAATATCACACACATTAATCACCTAAAAATGTATAATATTGAAGTTATTTGCTTATTTTAAATAATACAAATTTTAACATATTACAAAGTTAAGTATTCGTGGTGTTATGGGAAAATAAATAAAACTAAAATTGAATTTAAAGACAAAATAAAAATTGAATTTAAAGCTGACAAAGTGTGAGATGTGATAAATTTTACATTAATAGATAAATTTAAAAATTATTAAAATACAGAAATTTATTTTTGAATAAGATTTTTTTTAATTATGAACTATTTCAATCCATAAAATAATATACTCGACAACTTTACTATTCTGTTAAAATTGTTTAAAATATAAAATTATTAATTTATTAATTCATAATATTTATAAATTATATGTTGATCTATTTGAAAATAACAAACGATCAATAGTTAATAAATTAATTTACTTAATAACTTGTTTACATGATTAAAAACAATACTTATTTGTTTGGTTTATATAATTTTATGTAACACAGTATTATTGTAATCAGACAAATTTAAACTATATTTATAAAACAAAAATTTATATTTTTTATGGGTTTGAATAACTTACTTTTGCATCATAAGTAGTGGCTTGTTTATCTCCATAATATACTACTAAGTTATCACCGACAATTACTGGCGAGTCTTTATCAAATGGTACAATTTCAACATTACTAAATTAACAAAAATGTAAAGCCAATATTAAAAAAATATTATTTTCACAGATTTATTTATATTTTATAAACATACCTAACAGGTGTTGGAATTATATCATTTGTTACTTTTTCATCTTTATCCTCCTTTTTCTTTCTAACAGTCTTTTTCTTTTCAGATCCCTCCTCTTTTTTAATTTTGATTTGATTTTCTACAAGAAGTCCAGTCTGTGGAAGTTGCACCACAGAAGCACTTTCTCCAAGATCACTCAATACTGATATTCTCCTTGATTTGGTAGGTAAATCTTCCTTGGTTTTTGATCGTGTAAGCTAAAATAATAAAATGGAACATTCATTTTTAAAACAAAATCTAAAAATAATAAATAGCAACATTTAATTTTCAATATTAAACTATATTTATCAATTATAACAACAAAAAAACTAACAACTATTAAAATTAAATCAAATGTTTTAAGTTATAAAATGAAGTTAAGTACTATATTAAAATATTTGCATAAATTTAAGATAATTTTATTTGCAACTTTAGAAAAATGACAAGTTTCAAATAGTTCAACTTTTACATACTGAGATAAAACATTCAACTAAGGTCAATTAAAAAAAACTATCATCATTAAAGCCTTAATTTAAAATTTTTCTCAACATTTCTTACTGCACCCACAAACATAGTAATCAATAAAAATTAAAATTCCTAATTAATGTAGTTAATAAAAGTAATTGATATTAAAAAAAAATTACTTTAGGAACTTCTTCATCAGATTTCCCTTTGTTTAAAACATCTTGCTGGGTATTAGCTCCTCTCTTTGATTTTTTGAATGGAGTCATTACTTTAACAAACGTTTTAATTTGTTCTTTAATAGCTCTCATTTTTCTCATACCTGGTAACCCAGTATCTGCAGATTTTACTTTAACAACTTTTTCTTTTTTAGTCGTTTTACGCACTGATTTTCCAAATAAATTTCTTGTATACTTTTTTTTCTCTACTTTTTTATCTTCAATGATTTGATCATCATCTTGTGTATCTGAATCTATTTCTTTTTTTATTTCTTTTTTTAAAATATCTTTCATTTCTTTTTTAGCTTTAGAATTTTTAACAGTATCTTTGGTTTCTACTATATCCAAATCCCATTTCACTGATTGCTTACTACGTGATGTAGTATTAGTTATATCATCTTTTTTTTTGTCACTTTTTTTAGTCACTTCTTCATTATTTTTTATGAGCTTTTCTTCAGCTTTAATATTTTTGGCTGTTTTTTTAGTTCCAGTAGAATCTTTGGTTTTTTTATCGTTTGGTTCATTTTTTAAAATCTTATTTTTATCAGTTATGGATGATGTACCAGGTAATGCTTTATCAACATCTCGTATGATACTGCGACTAAATCTACTGCGTGATCTTACTCCTCTTGGATGACTCAACATTGTACATCCAAGTTTCCGATAGAAATCCTCAAAACTATGTAAATATCTGTAATGCAACACAATAAACACATTAGTTTTTTTGAAGTAACTAAAAATATAAATTATAATTAAACAATTAGTTCTCATCAACAGCTCTTACTTTATTCAAATTAACTTTAAATAAATAATATAATATATACTGTATTGTCTATTTTAATTTTATTTAAGAATATAATTCAAAATATATTTCATAAATGCAAAAAATGGTCTATTTAAATTTAAATAATTAATTGAAAATCACAAAATACGCAATTATATGCTTTTTAGATTATTAAACATGATTTAATGGTTACTGATTATTTTTCCTCACATCTATGTTAAAAATTACATAAATAAATACATGAAACATACAATAAGCAACAATTAAGCTTTTAAATTATACCCACATACTCATAAGTAAAATCAGATAGGCTGCAGCAAGTGTATATTAAAATTGAAATTATAAAAATGACTATATTTTGGATAATTGTACATATAGTAATACTTGTTAATGATAAACTATATTATTGTTTTACAATGCTTTTGTAAATATTCAAAATAAAAAAAAAAATAACAAAATGGATATTTTTAATAATTTAAAATTAGAAATAAATTGTAACACCTAGAAATAATTACTAACTGCAAGCATATACAAAATAAGTTATCAGATTTGAAATCTAAGCTTTGTGAATCTAATATTAAAGTCATATTTTGATTGTATTAAAAATATAATTTTTACACAACTGAAACTCTAATCATAACAAATTAAATCACAATACTATTTAAGTTTTGAATTAATTGTTATGTTATATGATGTAATAATATAAAAAAATATGTTTATATTAAGATTAAATACAATGTATGGTTATCAATTGTTAAAATATTTACATATCAATAAATTTAAGTGAATATACCAGTCCTTATTACATGTTTTTTTATTTATTCTATATATAGATAATAATAACTAAATTTTAAATAAATACACTTACTGTTGATAGCAATGTTTAACAGAAAAACATGATTGTTGTTCATGACCAGCTTTATTTGCTACAAACTTCCATAGTTTACCTTTATTGACTTTGTTGTATCCACCACAATTATTAACAACCTAAAAATAATATAAAAATATTAATAATTAATAGTTGGATAAGTGGCTATAATTCTTTTGTTTGTTTTGTAGAATTGTAAAATATAAAAATATGTAGTTCCTTTATTGTTAATGTATCGTGTTACATTTATCAATTATTTTTGTATGAAAATATTAAGAATACTTTTAAGTATTATTTACTTTTATGGGGTGAAAAAACTAATTTATAAATTGAACAGTTATATTTTAATAAATAACAGTGATCGAAATAAAATTTTTATAAATAAAAAAAAAAAAATTAATTTTAACACCAATTAATGATGCAAATTTTTCAATTGACCATTATTCTCCCAATAATATTTTATAAAAATTAAATAATTTAATACTTTGAATAGTTTATATAAATCAACATCCTTTTCGTTTATCACTGGAGCTTGATTGAGAGGAGTTCCTCGATCATCCATAAATTTAAACAGTTGTGCAACAAAATGATCTTTTTCTTCAATTGATTCTTCGTCAGAGTTCTTAAAAATAATATAATGATTAAAGTATATGAATAATTAAAACATCTATAATAAAATGTATATTTTTAAATGAGTAATAATTTTTGGAGTACTTTAAGAACTAGCAACAATTACATTAACATTATGTTTCAATAAGTTAGTTTAGCATAAAATATACTTACATCGCTATCAAATGCTTCACTATCTGTAGCAACACAAATTTTATCAATACCGAATAACAAATCTCGATCCCAGTGTGGTGGAAGCTCATCTTTGTCAAGAAAGAATAGGGCTTTTTCAACAGCTAATTAATAATAATCATTATTATTAATATAACTTTAGAAATGAGTCAACAATTATAATTTAATATTTACCAGTTTTAAGTGTAGGATTTTCCACTCTAGCACCAATCTCTTTAGTAAATTCAGTTATCTCTTTTTTGGGCACTGTATAACTTTATTTAAAAAATATGATAGTAAATAATTAATTACATTGAAGAAACTCTAGATTACTTACTATTTTCCATCCTTAAATGAACGAACTAAGTAATCTTCTGCAACATTAGTTTTGACTGAGGATTGAGATGTAGGTGCTACTATCAAGCCAGGAAACCAATTGTCTCTTACTTTCTTTTTATCATTAGCTTCTACACAAACTACTTTCCCAATATCTTTTTCTTCCATTGTTGAAGCGTCTTCTTCCCCACTTTCCCTTTATTGTGCAAAACATATAGTTTAAATTAAAATTGAAATATGGACTTGATAAAATATTAATTATTGAGTATATAAATAAATATATATACACAATTACCCAATGCTTTTCTTGTGCTTTCGACTTCTACGACCTTGTACAATAGTGGTTCTTACAGGAGTAACACCAATATGCTCAGGGTGCGTTAGAGGAAGTTGATCAAGAGTAGCACTAGCAGCAAAGTGTTTTCCACTCTTCAGACATAATGCTGTTCTTTTTAAGCAAGTTATATCTCCATCATCAAATACTGAAAAAATAATATAAGTGAATACATAAATAAATATAATTAAATGAAAATACATACCAACAGTGTATTGACTACAGTCTTGAATTTTTTGAATTGTTGCTCGAACTAATTCTTTTTTATCACTACACTTAACATCAACAGTAGCTCCCACCTTGATTTAATAAAAAGTATATTAATTTTAAATGAAATCATATATAATGTTTTTATGTTATATAGATTTAAATGTATAACCAACCTTTAACTGCCCTTTCACTACATCATCAGTGACAAATGCAGATATCCCATTAGAATATTGAACCTTGATAAAAAATATAAACAATAATTGAGTATAATTGGTTTAAAATTAAAATATTTTATGATAGGAAGTTCACGCACTTTGCACTTAACAGTTTTTGATATTTTTCTGATTTTTGCTTCACAAAATGCTCCTTTATATTTGGCACTTACTTCTGTGCCAACAGCAAGAAAAGGTGGATCATCTAAATTCACCTATATTTTATACAAAAAACATTAATTTTCTAGAAATTAAAAAATGCAGTTTTAAAACTTATTAATACACGAGCACTCTAAGTATGTAATAAAAATTCAATAATTAAGTGCATGCATAGAACAATAATAAACTCATAAGACTAAAGAACCCATAAATTCCATGAAATATAAAATACTAGCTTAACTTGTTAACACTAAAGCTAAATATTATACCTAAGTCAACTCCAATTACAAGATATTGTCCACACTGTTTCATAATTATAATAAAATTCATTTAATATTTGCATAAAATTTAATGAATAATAAAACATAATTTAAAAAATTCAAAACATCCATGTAAAACATAAATAAATATTATTTAATTTAATATTTAGAGTTGAGATTTTATCAACCTTTTAACATGAAGACTGTTCCTTCAATCACCTTCAGTTAGTAGCGGAATTTTATACTATAAATTTCAAGCTCAATAATAACAAGAAAACATTATTCATGCCGCTCAACCAACTGAAGTTCAAATTATATTTAACTAATATTAAATTATATAGTCAAAAATGTATAACAGTATGCGTTATACATATTATTATGACATTGCACTTATACTACCTAACTTATAAACTATATAATAAATGTTTAAATAGTTATTGAAGTAAAATAAATGTTAAGTTTTTAAGAAAAGGTGCTGATGATTAAAATTAAGTACATATATCATATAGTATTTCTCAGAATTATTAATTCTAGTAATTTAAATATTATTGTTATATGGAATAATAATAAAATAATATTAAATGTATGTTATAAACCAATGGTTTTTAACACTTTTTAATAAATGTATTTTCATTTGAAACCATCCAGAACATATAATCCTGAGATACGCCTATATATTATAGGTAGATATATATATATAAGTAACATACATTTTAAGAATAAACATACGACCATACTACATACTGACTTCCATTTAAGTGTTAATGGAATAACAAGTAGGTACATGTAGTAGACCTCGTTCATATGTCATCTTTTTCATTCTGAAATCAACCCATGGATAAAAACAACTAGGTTCATTTGTTTACTTTAATACAGTAAGTGCAATCATTACCAAGTTGAACAACCAATAACTGAATAGTTGCTACAGAATAAGTAAATATATTAAATATTAAACTAAAGTTGCCATAAATATACCATATTATCTTAAAATTTGTTCAACATTTAAAAATATTAAAATAATATAAACAAATAGCATATTAACTTACTTACCTCATTTAATAATATAAAATTTTTAAAGAAATGTATTGTTAATTTTATTTCACCTCAAAATATTGTAAGTAAAATTAACATATAATGTTATGCTTTAACAAATAATTAAATAATAGGTGGTACATGATTCATATTCTATAATTCAATTTGATATATTTTATCTGCACAATACATTTATTTAATTTACTAGACTAAAAAAACTAAGTTGTATTTCTAGTTCAATACTGCTATCATAAAATATATGATTTTAATTCCATCATTAAGGTAGAATAAATATAAATATATTTGAGTATTGATAAAAAAATACTCTTTCATACAAATTATTAATTACCATTCAATTGTATTTAGCAGTAAATAAATTTAACATATATTTTTAAACAAGACCATTACTAGATATTTATACATAAATAAAGATCTTGCTTAAAATACTAACCCTTAAGTTAATGGCAACTCTAGCTCCTACAATATAATTCTAATTGGAAATTTAAGCCAAATGAACCAACATCAATTTAATAAAACCCTTATAAATATAACTTTATGTATTGCATATATTTATTAAGAAATCTTTGTAATATTAAGCAAATTGTTCTTAAATTAATAATAATGATAAAGAACTTTTAAATTATTTATCATATTTACTTTAGAGATGTGTTAATAATTTTATAAAAATAAGAGACTACAAAATTGTCTAAAACAAATGTTTTAAAATTACAAAGATCGACTGATAATTTACTTCAATTAATTTTTAAATATTTACAATTAATGTAATTTAAAGATTTGGCTTAAACTTCCTAAGTTCATTTTTTAAATCTTTTATATAGATTATTAATAATAAATTATGCATGAGAAATTAAATGATACGAACCATCGTAAATGTAGGATGTTTTATTTGTATTTGTAGGAAAGAATTAATTTTTCCACTTAATTATATTATAATATAATTTTTAATCTAAAAAAAAAAAAAAATTAAATAATATTAGTAGGTAGCAGGTACATTATTTTAGAACTTCATAAAATAAATACATGGAAACTTGAATAACAATTAAAATTTATATCCAGTATTAACACTTAACATAATATACCTATATATGTTTTTTATAATTTTATAGTATTACTGAGTAACATAATGGCTTTCAAAAATTTTAAACAAAATTTTTTTAGAAAACTAAAGGTAATTGTAGTCTTTGTAGTATATTCTTGAGCTTGTAATAGGTATAAAGGTATTAAGTCAGATCCAAAATTTAAGTTATATAAGGTATAAAAATAAATATTAATACTTTATTCCTTATTTTAAAATATGATAATACCTAAAAAAAAAAACATGTCTCTTATGAAATTAATAATAAGCTATTGATAATAATTTTATTTTTTTAAATATAGTTAAAAATGTATTATAAGCTTAATATGACATATGTGATGCTAATAAACAACTATTCGTGTATATTGTATAATAATGTAATATAATAAATACATCATAGTACATCTTTAATAATCTATCTACCTTATAATCAAATTATAAAATAAAATTAAACATTGAAACAGAATCATTATTATTAAAATATAGTATTGGCATTTGCTACTGATTAACACACTTAAGTATATAAATTAACTACCTACTCAATAAATTTGGTCATTCCGGACCAGAATGTAAAAAAAATAAATAGATACAATGAACCATATCAATGATATGGTGTAAGCATACTGCCTCGCTTTTTTCACATCAATTTAAGTAAATAGATTTCTTAATTATGTATAAATGATGTCAAAACGGAACCTATTAGATCAATGGACACTTGTAATTTAACAAGTAAGTATAATCTACATCAACATAACCAAGTTATCGTTATTCGATATCATTTACTCACAATTCATTTTTAAGCAAAATTCATACAAAATGTTTGCTATTGTCATTAATTTTACAACAGAATTATATAATTTGCAATTAATTGTTCTTACATCCACAATACTAATAATTACTTTGTCACTAAATAAAAACGGAATACCGCATTTTCCATACAATCTATTTGCTGGTGTTAAACATTAGTAATATGATTTAATGTAAATTTTAGTTATACTTTTTTACTAAGAAATCGAATATTTATTGTTTATTAAATTTATTTTGAGTGGCCTACTCAACTGAAAACAAAAATTGTTTAGCGTCGCACAAATAACCAAAATAATAATAATAATTATTATTATTATTATTATTATTATAATGGACAAGCAGACTACATTGTTTATCCTTACCGGCAATCTTTCTCTCATGGTGAAGACGAATACGCAAAATGAAAATCCGTTGATTCGCGGCAAAAAACTGCAAAACTCTGCCGTTCCGTTCGTAGTCAACGATAGACGAGGGAGACGAGTACTTGGGTCATCAGAAAATGGCGGTTAGTACGCGCCGAGAACGTACGTTATATGTCGGATGACGGACAGAGATCGGTGGCTTTCTTTTCTACTGACTAGTCGGTTACTACATGCATTTGAGCGTTCACTATTCGTATATTAAATTATTAACATGATACTATGAAAATAACAATATTTGTCTGTTTATGATAAGAATATTTCAGTGGTTTCCAAAAATTATGCTTACTTACACGAACTAAGTCGATCGATGATCGTTAACTATTGCTACAATGAATATACAGCGATGTGCCGCGACGAGTGTACCAAAACGTCTAAAACGTATGAAACGAAACGACTGGACCGTTTGAAGTCTAAACCTCCGACTACGTTAGCGGTGTTACAAATGAGAACTAAACAGACGAGTAGCACAGTGATGCCGAAAAGAGAATAATATCAGCAATCATCTTTATTATCAGCATTTTAAAATTCTCCAAACACGATTATAAATCCATGTCACTGAATAATGAATATTGAATACTGACTTTAAAGTTTAGTTAGTAGCTACTAGCTACATTATTAAAAGTACAATTAGAATTGTTCATAATTTATTATTTAAAACAATATTCAAACGATAATTAATTATTAATTAAAGTGTTTAAAACACAATTTTATTATGTTTTGCTTATTTGTTTATGGCAGTAGTTTTCATCCGGTATGCCGCGGCACACTGGTTTGCCGACTGTGCCGCGATAAATCTATTGATGGAGTTCATTTTGTATATAAAAAAAAAAAAATATATATATATATATGTATTATAATATATATATATATGTGTATTATAATATATATAAAAACATATATGCTTCACGTATTATATGAATTGGTGTGCCCCAAAAATTTTGTAGAAGAAGAAGTGTGCTACATTGTTAAAAAGGTTGAAAATCACTGGTTTATAGCAATTTATATTTATATAATAATAATATTATCCATTTCCAATGTATTAGATTTCTGCTTAACGAAGAAATACAAATAAAAATGACCAACAGTCATTACAACATGCCTACTTAAATGTGTAGTAAAACTATATAAATGAATGAATGACAGAAAATTCATAACAGATAATTACAAAAATTGATTAATAAAATACATAATTATATTGTATCTCCGTAGACCTCACGCTAGATTAGGTATATACGTATGTGTGTGTATAACTAGGTATACAATTCATTGTTGTTTATAACATATACAAATAATTTATTGTAAATCTTTTTTTTAAAGGGGCTAAGTTTGTAATAGAATAGGATAGGAATAAAATTAAAATTTATCATTTTATTTCATTATAATATATGTTTTACCATTAAAATCTTAAATCCTTTATTCAATAACATAACATCATCTCATTAAATATATAAATGAATATTTCTTTTTTTTTTGTCTTTTTATGTACCTACTTAGAAACTATAAGAATCTTTTTAAAAACTACACAGGGGAAGCTGTATAATTCAATTTATAATATACATAATGTATTATATATATATACAAAAATCATTACTATAATATAATCCTTAAAATTATAAACAAATATTACAAAATAATCTATATTTTACAGTTATTGAAGTTTTGTTTTGAACTAGTGTCTAGTAGTATAACATTTTAGTGGTATAACATATTAGTATTTAACACAAAAATATTAATTTATTATGTATTAATATTAGTATATAGGTAATTTAAATAATGAATTTTTTAATATTTTAAAATACATAATAACAAAAATAAAATTTGTATTAAATTAGGTAGGTACTTCTTTCTACCATTATAAATAAAATCTAATAAAATAAATAAAAATTACATTTTTTCCTATCTTTTTTACATGATGCATAATATATTTGATTTTAAATTGCACAATATATTTATTAGTTATTTTCTGTAATACATTATGTGGATCGATAAGTGATAATTCTTCTAGTCAATTCATGTATGTAAATTTAAAGAAAAAAGAACCAATACTTGAAAACAGTATTCTGATAAGAGATGAAGAAAAATATAAAGAAATACTTAGTTAAATATAGTATTGTGGCTTTAAGTAATTTATTTATTAACGTAACTAAGTTATTTAAACTAATATTTATTATTTGTCAGATAATTAATTTTTATATGAATGGTTATTGAAATATAAATATGAAAAACAAGCTTTTTTTTGTAATAATGTTAACTCTTCCTTCATTACATTACTCGATGTTTCGAATATTAAGCTATGATAATTTATCAAATTTAAGATCACAAACTTCTCCTATCATGTAAGTTCTAGAGAAATAGACAATAATTAAATTTTTCTATCAAAGTATGATTTTTTTCATTAATATAGGAATCAACTTTCTAAATCAAATAAACCCACAAATAATAATCATTATTTACAAGTTGAATCATGCACAAAAGAAATGGGTAATTAATAATTACATATTAATTAAAATGGTGTTGAAAAAATGAAAAATTAAATATTTGAAAATGTAGTAAGCCAATATCAAAATGTATTCAAAATAGTTATCAATAATTTTACAGAAATGATTAAAGATTGTGTAGAAAAATCTTTGCTTAACATGACAGATAATAAAGAACAGAATTTTTCAAAAGATTGTATTTTGAACAACAATTTAGAAGTTAAAAATACCGATAAATCACAAGAACAGTAAACATAAAATAAATTACTTTTAAAACAGTATTTGTAAATTACTTAAAGTATTTTTTTTTTAATAATGTAACGGTATTTTCTAGCACGAATTTACCACAAAACCATAAAAATGAATCAAAACATGAATTTAAGTACAATGATTCCCAAACAGACAATTTAAGTAAATGTTAATAGTTTCTTTAATTAATGTTGCCATATTGATATTACAAACATGTCTCATAAATTATTAAAAACTTTAAATGACTCATTGTTTTCTGCATTTTAAATACATTTAGATAAATTAATGGATACAATAAAAAGAAAAATTTCAAACATTACAAAAATTAAAAATACAACCACTACTAATTCACCAACTGAAAAACCCAAAGTTAAATTACATCATCAATGTTTCCATCAAGGTGAGCTTTGTACATATTGTAATTCTAATTACTGCAACTTCAATGAAGAAAACGCCAAACACTGGTGCTTTAAATATTGTAAAAATTGTAAATGTTGTTAAATTATTCATAAAATTTGTAGTTAGGTCTGATTATTCTGATTTATATTGATTTTTTTATATTTTTGTTTGTTTCTCATTTTAAAAATAAGATAACACAATAAAAGGTTTTTAGAAGTTAATAATTTAAATCTGATGTATATTACAATAATTGTTGACAAAATATTATGCTAAATGAGTTATGCTAATAAATAAATAATGAAAAAATGTATAAATAATTAGGGACTTTCTTATAATAGACATTTTTCATTTATTAGTAGAGTATATTCATATTACATAAAATGCCTATATCATTTATTTAAAATATTTTCTTATATGGCTTTGGACAGTAGAATTCTTAGTCACTCCTACCTTAATCTAGTTCTAAATACTCACATGGACAATTTTGTATAATTTATAAATTTGTAAGTACAGGAAGAAAAGTTATAAGTTAAAATATACTTCTAACATTTTACTTGTTTGTGTTAAACATGACCATACCAAGTACATTAGTTAATATTAAAACATAAAATAATATAGGTACCTAGAATACAAACAGATTTTTATCCATCTTAGGTAGAATTGTAATATGATTATTATTTAGCTATCAACTATTGATTCTTGTACATCTACATAAATAGGTAAAATGTAATACCGATATATATTTAAACTACCCAAGTAGGAACCTACTAGGTACCTAAATTACCTACATCTTAGAATAAATAAAGTTATTCACAATGATAATGATAATTATTATTATTTTCATAGCTATAATATTATTTAATATGAAGTACAAAGGTAAAAGGCAATACATTTGGACAATAGTTTAATGTATAATACTTATTCAACACTGCTAATTATATTCATTTTTTCTCTGGCATTACAACTCTTCATAAGTTTTTACTACGTCTGTGACAGTAATTCTACTCCTTCTATTTTTCAAAATTGTTAATTTTTTCCCTAATTTGTTATCCTTAATTTCTCCAAGTCCAGCATTAAAATTCTCAACAAAATCAACACATTTCTAAGTAATTTTCACGAGTATGAACAAGTAAAATATAAGTAGGTATTTAGTTAAACATAAGTACAGGTAAGCATGAAATTTAGCAATTCACCGATTTTTTTTTAATGTATACAGTATATAGTAGAGGCTAGAGCTTCACCAACAAATTGAACCAATTTGCGATTATGACTATACTTACAGACTACACTAAATTTAGAAAAAAATTTTTAATGTATTAGGTAAATGCACAGCCCTAATAATTAGATAGGTATTGCTAATCAGTTATCATTTTTGTAAATACTACTCAAACAAAATATGTACAACTATCTATGTTATTATTTCAATGTCTATAAAATTTTTAAAAGTATTTATGTCAGTATTATTTTATTCTTAAATACTTTTCATAAATTTATTTTAAAAGTAAAATATCTTATCTGAAAACTATTCGATTCGAAAATTAGTTTATTTGAAAATTTTAAAAAAGTGAAAATGAAAATAGGTAATGGTTTTCAAATTTTTATATTTTATCCGAAATATAAATCGTTGTTATTGCATAGGTAACATATTTTCTCCTAATCTACCACCTCGATAAACATATTATTTAGGAAAAAATACGGTTTTTACGTAGGTATCTATTATTTTTCGGATTAAATACGGTTCTGTTAAAACACTTTTCTTACCTACCTCCAAATTTTAATATGGTTTGGATGAAATATTAAGCACTTCCAATATTCTATATCAAATCGACTGGACAACTAGACGCAAAGGATATAAAAATAGGTGTGTAATAATATTATTATTTTTGAAGCATTACTGTTATTAAATTACATATTAAAAATATATTTTTTTTTTGAATAAATATTTTATTGTCCCAATTTCGTGTAGTAAAGTTGCGCTGTATTGCCTGTATTTGCTTTGTTAATTGATATATAGTTCGCTAAACAGCTAAGCAATGAGCGCTGCCCATAATGTTTCGAAAGCTTGTTGCTCATGTCACAGTCACCACTTTCGAGTGTGCCCGGTACCAGTGGAGGTACGGTATCGATGAAACATGGACTATGGAGGTCTTATACAGTTTTCCAAGTGTACTAATAAACTAAATATTATGCAGAGTTAAAGACTATTTTATTCTAATTTAGATAGTTCAAATGTAAATAATTTTTGATACGGCATAAAATTACGTACTAACGTACCAACTCACTACAACTTACATTAAATAAATTTATTTAAAATCTTGTAACTTTCAACTTTCAAGTGTTTTAGAATTATTTTTATTATATTATGTCACTTAATCATTTAAAAGTAGGTTTTTACAAAGTACGTTTTTTTTTTAATATGCCAAGACATATTTACAATTTTAAAAATACAAAAAATCGTTGAATTTTTATTTTTTTAAATAAATTAAAAAAAATTAGACAAGTGTGTAAACAATACTTATTAATTGTTAGATTAGGTGCTTAGTCACTTAGATAGTGACCATATTATAAAACTAAATGTGGGACAAGCAATATTGATTCAATCTTAAAATTAACTGTGTTAGTTTTACCTGTTTTCTCTCATGACAGACGAGTGATAACAGTTTTCGAAGCTGTAAAAATTCGATTTTAAATTTTGAGGGGACAGTTACAGGTAATAAATTAGATTTAATTAGTACTTTGGTTAGAAGTAAAATTTTCCAGTAGTTTTCAAAAGAGAAAGAATACAAAAATGGAATATTCACTCTAAACCAGTTTTTCTAATTGTACCATCATTTATAATTCGTTGTCGAGTTACATAAGTTTGAATAAGAAATAATCAAACTGGCGAGGGGGTACAAAACTGCATTTATACCTCAGTTTTTGACCTGATGTATATATACTCGTAATATATTAAATCGTGCCACAAATAACTTCTGTTTTAAAAATTTTATTTATTCTGTGCTTTAATTCTACAATAGTATAGAAATAAAAAAACTTAAACCTCGAATTGGTACAGTTATAATTATACTCGGAGCAAAAACTGTGCAGTGAACTGAAACATACAAAATGTAAGTAATTTAAATTCAGTGCGCACTGAAGTTACTCATTAATAAAATATAAATTACATAATTTAATCACGAAGGTACCTAGAGCGGAAAACGCAATTAGATATACCTCATATCAATATTGTTCATAGCAGCAATTAAAATTAATTTGATTATAAAGTTAATGCCACAGATTTATATACAATACTAATACATACATTTTATTAAATCATAGGCGAGTATAATGATTGTAATCTAACAATATGTCAATATGATTTGTTTGTTATCCTTAGAGATAAGACATTGGAAAGTGATAAATACATTATCTTTCAAGAAAAACATTTTAATATTATATTTACGATGATCTTAGACCTTAGATTTAGTTCGTAGTATTAAGTAATCGGCGTGACGACATGACAAAATAAACATAATTATTTATTTTATCATGATAATTGGTATAAATTATAATTAATAATATTAATTTTTAGTATATAATATAATGTAGTATTGGTTTTTGTTAATCATGTTTCATAATGTCTGTGATAGTTAGTTAGTATTTTATTCATATTTGACTGAGAGTAAAAAATTAATTATAATAGCAATTATTGACTTCTTACTTATTATACAACTTACAAATTATATGTTTTATAAAATCATCAACAAATAATAATATGCATTATCAGATACTCAGATGTGTATTATAATATATTAGAAACAACTTGTGTTTGGTTTTTCCACACTTTACCATGGAAAATAAAGAAAGGTAATTATTGAAAAATGTGTATTAAATAATTTACTAATTACATATAAAAAAGGAGGCAAAAATAATGGATAATAAAGATTTAGGCGAAAAAAATTCTTGACTACAGAAAAATTGACTATTAGCTAGAATTGTTATAGTGATTGACTTGTTTTAGGTTACACATAACAGATAATATTGTTTCAGACTCCAGTTACTATTCTGAAATTATTAATAACTAATCATTTACAGAACTAAACGCTATTGAAACTTTGTTCAATCAATTGTACACCATGCCTTCCATCCCATTATTATTCACCCACAGACCACAACTATTTATTAGTAAAATAAACAATTAAATTTTAATTAGAACTCATGTAAAGGTTACAAAATAAAATTTAAGATAATAGATTTGTCAGTACTTTTAAGTACATTTTTTTTAATATTTAGGTTATAAATTGGTACACATTACATTATTGATATCTTAATTTATTATACGTATCTTTAACACTTACACATATTTTTAAAATTTTAAAATTTTAATTTTTAGTCTTAGGGTTAATATATGATTGACATAGGTTAGGTTTATTAAATATATTATCTTTATTTATCAAAATTAAGTGAACTAATGCATATTTTAATAGATTTTCATTACTACTATTGGAACCAGGAGAGTACTATTTTGAAGATTACATTGCTTCATTAGCAATTACCAAGAATGATACATGGCTTATTGGACGACTTAAAGTATGTTCATTATCATTAGTTTTTGATCCAAAAGATTACCATAAACCAATTTTAAAGATACCATTTACACAATGTGGATCTATTACTAAGAGGTTTGTGAGAGACTGAATATTTAGTTAAATAAGTAATACCTTTTTTAAAAAGTAATTTTGTATTTAGTATAAAATTGAAAGAGTGTTAATTTTAATTTTTTTTATATTACTAAAAGTTAAAAAAAAAATGTATAATTTATATTATTTATGTTATTATTTTTAAAGAAATGTTGTATTAAATCTTAGATAATAAACTAATAAGGAAAACAACAATCCTAGTTAGTCAGTAATTATCTATTATAAATCCATGTTTATAGGATATACATTATATATTTATATATTTATTAATGTTATATTTATAATTTTTATTTTAGTTCAGATGAAGATTCAAATATATTAAATATAATATGCAAACAGTACATTGAAATGTTAGATCATAATGTGTTAGAACCTTACAAGTTTATTAATGTATGTATTTATATGTTGGTATTGAGCACATCTTTTACTTAAACATTACATTTTTTAGGAAATATCATTATTCAGAATTGATTTAAAATATGCTCGAGTGGAAGATTGCTTATCCCTTATACTACAACTACACCGAGCTTCATCTTTACAGACTGCAGAACATAGGCATATGGTAAATAAGCAATTTAAAACAAACAGTTAATATTATTAACTATTTAATTAATTATGTTATTTAATGTTTATTTTAATTGTGTTGAATATTATTAGGCTGCCGCAATAGCATATGGTAGACAAACACTTATCAAATTTGATCCAACATGGTTAGAATTGGGTGAAAATATAATAATGGAAGAAGTAGGTCAGAAAATAACACCTCTTAGTATAAATTCTGGAAGAATAGTATTGACTAGTTTACATGTGTATTTCCAACCTTTCAACAATAATGAAGTGGTAAGTTCAATTTGAAATAATTTCGCTATTCATTATTTTAATATATAGTTGCTAGCTTTTCAAACTTTTTTTATCATGGGCTCTCCTAAATTTGATGTAAACTGTCAAGGCCCCCATTAGTCAAAATCATTAATTATTTTTTTAAAACATAATAACTAAATAACTGTAAATATTTAAAAATATGTATATATTTCATGGTCTACTAGTCATATTATAGCTACAGCTCCCAATTTGAGAAGTACTGAATTAAAGAATATCTACTTTAACAATATATATATATTTAAAACTTATTTCTGATCAAGTAATATGATTTAAATAAATTATCTAATTTATATTTTACAATATGTTGAATACTATTAAATTATAACATAAAATAAATGTTGACTTAACTTTTTTATACAAACAAAATTTTAATTTTATCATGTTAAGATATAAAATTATAATTATTTTTATGGTTTTAGACTTTATATTTAAAAATTGAGTTGTCTGAACTAAAACGAATCATTAAAAGAAGATTTTTGTTACAACAAGTTGTAAGTATCAATAAATTGAATTAATAGTTTTTTATAGTATTGTAATAATATGTATTTTTTTTGCAGCAGCTTGACTTAACATGGCATTATTTTATGCTTTCCAATATAATTCTTAAGATAATACTTAAAAAAATGTATTTTATAAAATCATTAACAATTATTTTGTTTAATTATTATAATTTTCTTTCTACTAATTTAATTTCATAGCCAAGACATTTAAAGGAAAATATATTAGTGAAATCTTCACCGTAAATCTTTTGGTTAACAGCTGTATGTATCTTATGGTTTTCAGCCTAATCTTTATTGCATGGCAAATTTTATCATGTTAAGTTATTTAGTATGTGTATGCACTTTTATCAGACTTGAAAAATAGTACTTTAAAATTAAAACTAATTATTTATTCATGTTCTACCTAATTAGGAATTTATTACATAATTTTGAAGTATACTCTAATAAACAGTATTATTTTCTAATAGTTAAAGATTCTACTTAACTTAATTTTAACTTATTTGAATCTATGTTAACTTAACATCAACTTAAACAGTTTTGAATATTCTTAATTGAGTTAATTTATAATAGTTATATTATTCAGAAAAATATTTTGTTGATTATAGTCTATATTTTTATGTATTTTGCAAAAAATACTAGGAAAAAGTGTTCTAAGTTAAAATGAAAAATTGTATTTTATGAACTACTAATAATATAGGAGAATTTGGTTATTACAAAAAACCATATAGACATTCATGGATATGTATCCAAATATCATTATATTTATAAGTTATTAATGCAATTATCATGGATTGTGGTCATTTCAGTTTATATTTTTTCTAAAGGTACAATTTATTATTTTGGTATATTATTTACTTTAACAGATTTTTAATTTATCGCTTATTACACTGATTCAGTATTATTTAGTATTCAATCCTTGGTTCTCACTTTGATTAACTAGTCTATTAATCATTTAATCATTTAATTACTTAGTGATTGTTTCAAAATTAATTCTAGATATAATATATAAATTAATTAAATTGATAAAATTTAATTTAATTATTATAACTATGAAAGAAATATTAACTTCATGTGATTAGATTAATTATACAAAATATATATTTGCTTATAAATAGTAGAAGTAGCATTTTTTTTATTACTTTTTATTAATCTTATTTATTTTATAAATTATACGTTTTAAAAACACAGTAAATACATTTGCACTTTACTTTAAATTTAAGTTATCTTTTGCATGAAATATGAATAAAGTTCTATAAATAGTAAGGTTTTTAAAATAGATACATAATATCAACATTGATTTTATTATAAATAACTAATTAATAATAATTACAAATTGCTTAAAACCATTTTTTTTTTTTTTAATTAACTTAACTTATTAATTTAAATTAAGTATAAGTTGATGGAATTTGTTAACTTAATTTTAAACTAAATTTTTGCGTTTCAAATGTCTACAAATTTTATTTTTTAACTATATTAAAAAGAAATGTAATTAACCGAGTTAAAAAAAATTGCATTAACTTGCCTAGTCTTGTTAATCATAAGAAAATGTATTATTTATTTATTATAAATACAGTATTACACTAGTAATATTTTAATATATACAGTGCTTATGTATATTTAACAAAATTATAAATACATATTTGCTTGTAGAATTTAAATCGTGTAGAACAATTATTAGGAAATTAGTGATTATATTTTTAATTTTATAGAAATATATACTTCAAGTATTTTGTTTCAGGGTTTAGAATTTGAATATGAACTCAATAAACAGTTGTACCTGACATTTAAAACTACTGAAGTACGAGATAAGCTTTATGATAATTTATTAAATCAATCAAAAGTGAAAATGGAAAAACGTGAAAGATGTACCATGACATTAAAATGGCAAAATGGTGCTCTGTCTAACTATGATTATTTACTATATTTAAACAGGTATTTAAATATATTTTATGTTTATACTTTTAAAAAACTATTATATAAGTAATAAGTATATTAAAGTAAAATTTTGATTGTGTAATTTAATATTTTAAAATTATAATATTATGTATTTAAAAAATATATAATATTAACAAACTATATTTATGTTATATAAAATTATACATAAATAGTGTATTTATATTTGTTTCTTATTATTTATGTTTATTATAATTTATAATAATTATTAGATCAAAATTATGTATTTTATTTTATTAAAAACCTAACAAAACATAATTTACACAATAGAATTTATCATGTAAATAAATATGTTATATTTTAGTTTGGCTGACAGGACTGTTAATGATCTGACACAGTATCCTGTTTTTCCATGGGTTGTAGCAGATTACACATCTTCTACTCTAGATTTAACTAACTCAAATACATTCCGTGATCTTACAAAACCCATTGGTGCCTTGAATCCAGAAAGATTGTTAAAACTCCAGGTCTTAAATAACAATTAACAAATAGTTTTAGATATTACATAATATGATTTGTGTATTTATTTATTAACTAGGTAATGTACTTAATTTTATAGGATAGATACAATGAAATGAATGAACCAAAATTTTTGTATGGATCTCATTATTCAACTCCTGGATTTGTTTTGTTTTATTTAGTACGTAAATATCCCCAATATATGTTATGTTTGCAAAACGGTAGATTTGATCATCCAGATCGAATGTTTAACAGGTATTTAACTTAATATTTAATAATGAGTATTTTCCTGTCTTTAAGTACTTAAATAATTAATTCATTTAAGTTTTAAGTTAATGTTTATAATAATTAAATGTTAAGTTTTTAAATTGTTTATTAATTGATACACAAATAATGGATACTTTCTATAATTTTGAACTCTTAAAATAATTTAGCACTCATATCTCTTAAAACCATATTCCTGATCTTCTAATTAATATTCTTCTTGATAAGCAAAATTGCCATATAAATCAATGAATTAATTTTGAAAAAAATAACATGTTTATTATTTAATTTTCTTAAAACTTTAGAACTGCTATTTTATTTAATTTAGTATTTATTGTTTTTTCACAAAAAAAAATCCAAAAGAATAGCAATAAAAATGTTTTTATTATCACTTATTACAAAAATATAAGTAATTTTAATATTATTATTTAAAATCAATTTTATACGGTGTTATTGATTAGTTGTAAAAATTTTTCTGTACTTTTATTATTTATTTGTTACCTTAGAATACCATAGAATATTTATATAATGTTATAACAAAATATAATAATTATTTATTTATTAAAATTATTAGTATTAGAAATTGTATTTTTACAAATTATCAAAATTAAAGTTATTATGTACTTGATTAAAATTTTCATCACAATATTAATACTATTTTATTTAATACTAAAATTAAAAGAAAATTTTAAATATTTTAATTATTATAAGTTATAACTCATATATTTACTTAAAACTGTTTTCTATTTCGTTGACAGACTTGTCTTAGGTAGTGTGAGAATGTTTTTTGTACAGAAATACAACAAAGTTCATTTTATGGTTGTTGTTCTGTCATTTTAGATATTTTGCATTAAAAATTCAACTCTTAATACTCCTTTTCAAAAATACATTTATCTCAAACAACTTTTATCAACACAACATTTTTTAGTAAAATATAATTTATTGATTTACTAAGTTTTTGTTGTAATTTAAAATTGATCTATTCATAAAAATAAAAATAATTCATAGTCATTATTTTAATTTATGATACATTACCATTATTTATACTAAAACTCTTTATTTTTTTACTTGATATAAAAGGAACTGAAATCTGTGTCGTAAATTGATTATTCTTAGGATTCCATATTTATCAAGTTAAGACTCTTTTGTTTAGTATGGCAGTATTTAAATATCTTGAAATTATTTTTTTTAGTTTTTTGTTCTATTATAATATATAAAAAAATTATGAACAATGGTAAAATATAATGTGTATTTAAAGTCACATCCTGATAAATGTTTTAATATCATTGCCAATCATGTTTTTGGTTTACTTCACAAGAGGGTAATATAATCCAATATCGATGATATTGTTGGAAATATATGTTTTGTTGAATATCCTGGTTTGAACAGGAATTAAGATAAAGAAATTAATATAAATATAATTACGAGATGCAATTTTATAAAAATTAATTTAATCTTTTTTTATCCTTAAGTATATCAGATGCTTGGAGAAATGTGTTAAACAATATGTCAGACTTTAAAGAGTTAGTTCCAGAATTTTATGACACTGATCAATGTGGTGATTTTTTAACTAATAAATTTGGTATTGATTTTGGAACCAGACATGATGGTCGCAAAGTTGGTGATGTTGAACTTCCAAAATGGGCAACTAGTAAGTTAAAGTTACATTTATATGCTTTTAATAATTATTAAAATAATGTATTTTTTATGTCTATTAGGCCCTGTAGATTTTGTTTCTAAATTGAGACAAGCTTTAGAAAGTGATTATGTATCCAATAATTTACATCATTGGATAGACCTTATTTTTGGTTATAAACAAAATGGAACAAATGCAATCAAAGCAAATAATGGTATAATTAATTTAAATTAAAAACATCAAGTATTAAAATGCTCAAAACAGTTTAATTAAATTGTCACTTGAAATTTACATTAAATTTGTTTTATTAATAGTGTTCTACTACTTATGTTATGAGGGAGCTATTGATTTAAACAATGTTCGAGATTGGAACCAAAGACATGCATTAGAGGTGCAAATCATGGAGTTTGGTCAAATACCAAAACAGATATTTGAAAAGCCACATCCACCAAAAACATCTTTATTAATTAAAGATTTTCAACAGTTTGGTAATATTGTATTTTATTTGACTATTTTAATATTAAATATTAGTCAAGAATTTAATATTGTGATTGACAAAATGTTTTATTAGGATTATTACCAAATATAGAACAGTATTGGAATTGGAATAATTTAAGTATATTAAAATTATTTACCACAACTACACATAGAGATACAGCTACAAGTGTAAAAATTAGTGAAGATATGCAAACAGTTTGGTCAGTAGGACATGATGCTATGCTTAAAGTCCATTGCATATCAACCCAGAAACAAATTAGAAGTGTTATTGTACAGGGTTTTCCAGTTAAATTTAATGATATAATTTTACCACCAATTTACACATCAACAGCATTGATTGCTACCATGCATGGATCTTTGTAATTATGATCATTTATTATGGACAACTTATTATGATTTAATTGACTAATATATTGTGTTTTTATTTAAAGGATTGTTTATGATATTGACTGTTGTCGTATTACCGATGACTTCAGAGCCCATGAAGATTCTATATCTTGTTTAGCATGGTCTAAAAACGGATTTTTAATAACTGGTTCTTTAGACTGTACTGTGCGTGTTTGGAAGACTCCACAAGCACCATGGACCAAAATTGAGTTAATAACTTCTCTTAAAGCTGAATTGGAACATGAAAATAAAGTTACAAGTTTAGCTCTTTCTATGTAAGTTGTAATCATATTTAGATAAACAAAATCAGTAGTATAAGATTTTGTCTTTGGGAGGGGGTTATATTTAAACAGAATTCATTGATTCAAGAATTCTTGAATCTAATTAATTTAAAAACATTATAAATACAAAATATGTTACCAAAATGTATATGTAATTATAATTTGATTAGGTTAAAATATGTTTTTATTAGAAATAAACAATATGTAATGCTTATAACAAAAATGTGTGGTGTTTAAACAATGTTACTTTATTATATTATTAATTATACAGAGTTATTAAAATCTTAAACTCAACATTTTGTTTTACAATTCAAATAATTTAATTTTTAATATTGAAGTATAATTTACATATTATGTTATAGGGATAACAAATTGTTGGCAACTGGAACTGATGTAGGTGAAATTTTTTTATGGTTTTTCCTTGATTATTCATTTATACAACAGATACCAGGTATAACTAAATTTCATCAATTATTAGTTGTATTATCATTTAGACTACTAAAAACCCACAATTAATTGTATTATAGGACACTCTGACAGTGTAAATAAATTGAGTTTTAGTCGTGATTGCTCAAAACTTATTTCATGTTCTGATGATTGCTGTTTCAAAGTGTTTGATTCTAATAGTGGACTCGAACTTTATACCAATACTCTTCAATGCCCATTAAAGTAAAATTGTTTATTTTATAAATATACTAAAAATATACGTTAAAGTTATTTCAAGTCTTAAAATATATCAAGTCATTGAGATATATACATCATGTAAAAATATTTGTATGTACAAAAAGTTCAGTTTGTTTAAAATGTTTTTAACTTTTTTAATATAGGTAATGTTATTTTAACATAGAATAGAATATAAATTCATATACTTTAAAACTCGATCATAAAAAAATTAAAAATTGTATTTTATAGAACATTAGCATGGGATGGATATCATGTTTTTGTTGGTGGTGATGATGGAATCATGTATTTGTGGGACTTGGAAAAATTTGAACTTATTAAAAAAGTTCCAACACATTCTGGTAAATAGTTGTTATATAAATTTAAAATAATTAAAGTAGTTGAGAAATAAACAGTTAATAAATAAAAAAAATAAGATAAATACATAATATACTGCATATAATTTAATTTATAGCAATTTTATTTGTATTTAAATCATATTAAAATAATTGTATTTTCATCTTATTTTTAATTTTTCACAGGTGGATTGTTAAATATGGATGTTTCTAATGACGGAAGTATGATTGCTACTATTGGTAAAGATCGTTTGGTTTATGTATGGAAAACATCTTTTGATACTTAGAGATTTTAATGTTACTATCATAACAAATTAAAAACAATTAATATGTATTTTATTTTTTTTTATATTTTATTTGTATAGAAATACTTAAAACATCTGTTAATGTATGATTATATTTTTTATTTAAATAAATTAAAAAATATTTTGATGCAAATTGTTATAAATTATCAATACATTTAAAATATTGTTTCAAATATCAATGGTATCATGTTTATATAATTGCTTTTAATTTATATATATATGTGTTCATACATTTTTTTGAGTTATATATTATGTAAGCGATTATAGATGATATATTTATGATCTAGGTGATATTCTAACATTTATTAATTTTTTTTTTTAGTGTATGTGGTTTTAAACATAAATAGGTATTCGTTTAGTATGTGACCTACCAATCGAAAATCGAATTTAGTATGTGACCTACCTGTATTACTGAGTTTAGTGTGTGACCTACCACAACGATTATTTATGTTATATGAATGGAGAGCATATTCTTGTTTAAAAAATATAGGCTATGATCATAAAACAGTAAACCATTCAAACAATTTTGTTGATCCAACTACTGGAGCTCTTACACAAGCATTTGAATGTTCATGGGGAGTATTAAAAACTAAAATCCTACGAAAAATGCATGGAACTGATACATGGATTGTACTGATATTCTGTAATAATAATCTAACCTAATTATATAATTTTTAAATTAATTTTAACTGATATTGAATGTAATCCATAATCTGTAATAATAAAATAACCTAATATTATATAATTTTTAATTTAAATGTTTTTAAATTAATTATCGGTCCGGTAGGTCACGCATACAAAACAAACACCTTGTACGGTAGGTCCCTCGACCAGTAGGTCATATACTCATATACTAAACGAATACCCATAAATATAAAATAAAAAAAATAAATAAAAATAATTAAGGTTAGGTTTTAAATGAGTTAGAACAGTTAGAACATTTAATATAATTTAGAAATTAAATTTAAATTACTTAACCAACTTGCAGTATTATCATAAGTGTCTAATTTATTATTAAAAAATAAACGTGTTAATACCTAATAATCTTAGTATGTGATTTTTAGCATATGATATTGGAACAGTATTATTTAAAATAGATTAAAATAATATCATGAAATGGGTTATATTTGCTTCAAAATTTCTTAAAAGTTACATTCAAGCAAAACATGATTAAAGTCAGATAGAAAAATAGGTTCTTGGAATAATTTTTGGAGTTAAAAAATAACTAATTATGGGGCAATAAATTAAAATTAATTTGTGATTGCAAAACCTTGTTTAATGTATTTGACAATAACAAGAAGAAAATTATAATAACTAACATAAACAAAGAATTACAGCAGTTTTTGTTTGATTATAGAGTGAGTGTAAACTCTATTACTAATGTAAGTGAAGCATAATTAATACATACTTGTTAGAAAAATTTCAATACATATACTTAAACATGAAACTTAAACCAAATATTAATATTATTATTTTCTATGTATTGTGTAATTTCCAAAACATTTTAATTTGATTTAATCTTTTAATAGACATTTAAAATTTTCAAAATACATTTCTGTAAGTGAGGATTAAAATTTATTTGCTGGATCAAAACTCTTAAAAATTGAATATAAAATCCCACATATTATGTTATTATTCATCTGTATAAAAATATACAAATATAATTTTTACACAATCACAAAATTTTACAAGTTACTAGTATTTTGTAGTAACTTTTTTTTTAATCTTCAATTTCTAAGATTTAAAAAACAGGTACATAAAAAGAATTATTTTTATAAATGCCTTTTGAATTTCAAATTAAGACGAAGTTATATATTATATTAATGACAAATAAATTATGGTAATTTTTTGTTATAATTCAAAAACATTATTCGTCTATACATAAAAACATTTTAAGAGTATGTAGATTGATTTAATTATTTGATATATTATTTAGCTTCTTATTATCATGACCCTATTTGGCCTATTTATTCTGTTATGGTTGACTGTCTCCGCTCAGAATCGTTTTTCGTATAAAAGAAAGACATAATATAAAATTCAAATTTAATACTGTCATTGCAATGATTCACTTGACGTCTAATATAGAGTAAAGAAGTACCACCCACTTGTCCATCTTTTTTAAATTTATCATGTAATTTATCAATTATGATCATGTAAATTGTCTAATGGACAATATGAAAGTAAAATAAATAGTAGGTACTAATTAATGGAATATTATTATATGCATCATGTGCAATTGTTAAATATTCCATATTTCCACGGTTTAAAATGTGGTACCTATCCACCTACAAACAGTACACACAAGAATATTATAAACCAGATTTTCAAGATGCTGTAGTTAAGCACGGTCATATTGAACCGTACTTGTCCTATATGGATCGGTATTTGATTCCATGAACTAAGATACACCTCAATATTCTATACCTAGGTATAATATCTTAGTTCACGGTCGATACGTTTCGCTAACGCGCCACAGAATTATTGTGTAAATATGCCGCCTATGGCAACTTTGTCGAACGTCGGATAATAAACAGATACACTCATAATAGTTTCTTTCTTGGAAATATACAATATTATTGTCGTTATTCGGTCTCCAAGGTGGCGGTGGTACAGCAGAGCAAAGACGATACGTCGATACGACATACGTCGGTACAATTGTAGCAGTCGTGTATGATACGGCGATAGTGCGCATGCTCAGTGTGCATACCAGTGCCACGATCGGTCCATTTCCCCTCACCACCGTCGCACGCATCTATTAGGCATTATTCCTCCATTAAACATTGCCCATTCTACCGTCGGCGTCTGAGTGTTATCAGTCGTTAGCGTACATACTCGGTCGTTTCGGTTTCGCGACGGCAGCTCGGAACTCGGCGTACGCGCAAATATCATCATCGGTTCTCCGTCTGTTACCGTTCCTCGTTTCTTCCATCATTTAGTACGCCGTTGTTGTTTAGTTTCGCGCATTTGCTGCTCTCCAACGCCGGACTACTGTGGACGGTGCCGTTGCATAGCGTCCTCGTGACTACCCAATCGCGGACTAAAACGTGATATTTGTGCACTGGCGGCAGTGATGATGAGTTTCAACCGGTGCACCGACGGCGGTGCGTCATTCTCCGGATCCATCGGAATTCAGGTGATTATTTTGTGTGTTTAATTTATAGGTAGATCTCATCTGTGGTTGTGCTTGCACTTCCCAGTAGTTGTCTCATGTGTGGCACATTAACGATCATTTAATTATTTTATTTACTGACCTGTTTTACTACTGCCGTAATCTGTGCCTGCTGTCAGATAGGATAGTTAGTCAATAAATGGTTAATGGTGTTATGTTACTTACTATGTTTGTTGTTGGTAAAATCGTTTTGAGGTGTCTATTGTCATTACATTATTTGGTCCTCCCATAGTCTCTATTAGTTTGTCATTGTTGTGTAAATCTGTAGACTGTCGATTATCATTTGTAGAATATCCTTCTCTATACTAAATATTTCCTAAAAACTGTAATAATCTATTAAACAGACTAGATTTCAAATAATTTTTAACACTTGATCATTTTAGTTACTTTTTACTAAAAAACAATTTACAGGCTTTTCTACGCTCTGCTACTATTTTATGTAAATAATATATTTTAAAATTTTTAACATTTAGGTTTACTCTAGTTATATATTATAGTGGATTGTTGTAAAAAAGAGTGTACAATTTAGGTATTTATACATTTTAAAATGAATAATAACTGGGATTCAATTAATGCTATGTATTATCTTATAGTAAATATTCATAAATTAAATTTGCCAAACAACATTTAAATTTGTATTACAATTAAATATACCTCAAAAATATAAAATTTATGAAATGATTACATAGGTAATTTCAAAATTATAGGTAGATGTAATAATAATACTGTATTATATCATAACATAAGAAAGTTGTTTCTATTAATCAAAAAACATGTGTAGATGATATTTATATGTATACCAGCTTTATAATCTGATTTAGCCTAGAAAAAAAATGAATAAACTCTAAATATTGCTCTATATTGCTTTTAGTTCCTACACCTCAGTTCACTGGCAAATCTATATCGATATATCTCACTTTGTTAACAAACCCTTTCTATGTTGAAAATACCACCATTACATTTTGGATAAAGTACTAGATATATTTTATTATGTGGTTCAAATAATTTGATAGACTTCTGATATTTCCAAGTACTATCTCTGAAGTTGAGTCAAAATTGATTTGAGTAGTATTGGGGTTAATAAGCTACAAACATAACATACCAGGACATTGTCTATTGTGTACATTTGAATAACAAACAATAGATTAACTACCTATTATTTTATTTGATTTAAAAATAAAATTCTATATAACATGGCATAGGAAGGTTTAATAACAAATTTGTTTATATTTATTAATTTTTGTAATCTTATTTCTTTAACCAATGAAAACTATAAACACAAGTAACTTAAAATTATAACAAATAATTATTTGATTTTACGAGCCAAAACAAAATTTGTGTGTGTTTCATTATATAGTAACCTGGGACGCGAGTCACAGCCCAAAATATTGAAAGAATGAAGAAGAATACTGGAAGGAAAGAGACTAAGAATAAGTAGGGAAAAACAGATTGAATTATATATGATTTTGAAAAAGATATTAAGAAATCGATGGAAATAAATTAGAATGAAAGAGGGAAAGGATGACTGAAGAGAAGATGATAAGACATATTGGTCATGATACATAATTAGTTGGTATCAGTTAAGGAGAAGTGGAGAACAAAGACCTATAAAAGTTTAGGACAAAAGAGTAGAATAAAAAAAATAATCTGGATATTATTATTGTTATTATAGATTTATTACAGATACCAGTCATGATTGGTACCCATGTCACAGTTTTTAATATTATATCATAATAATATACATAGAATTAGTAAAAAAATACTGATAAAATAATTAAAATATAATGTAATATAGTTATTTCATAAGTCTTTAAAAAAAAAAAAATAAAAAAATAGCAGTTAATCAAGGTAGTCTTGGATGGAAGTCAAAATAATTTAAGTACTTAATAAAGATATATATATTTAAATACCAAAACAAACTAATACAATCACTATAATGTTATTTTTATTTTGCATGTTTAAATCCTTTTTGGCTTCTGTTACAACTGTCCATTTACTATGTTATATTTAATAATTAGATCGATAAAAATGAATGTATTTGTTTTGATACAGATTAATAAAAGTGTTTGTAAAACTACATAATATTCAATATTGCCCATTATTTCTAATCATTGTCATCAATTCATAATATCAATAACTAAATTATCATTTTTCTAGTAACATATAAATATTATTGCCACTAAAAATAAAAAATTAATTTTGTTACTATTGAATTAACTAGTGGCTTATTTATCAAATTTTAATGCATGTTTAAGAAATACTTAAATAATTTATTATTATTTGTTTTAGGATGATTTGTTTATGAGCTAATATGGATGAATCTTGCACAGAAAACAATAGTTTAATGAGAAAATTTAACAAACAAGTTGAAAAACCATCAAATAACAGAAATTTATCTTTTAGTTTAGAATTGGTAGATGAAAACCATTCTAGTATTGATTTAAAATCAAGTCTACCAACTAGAAAACAAAGACTTAAAGAATATTTAACTACAACTCACATACCTGATAAAAACATTAATTTAACTTATAAATTACACAATTTTTCTAATGTTAATTTGATTAATTTTGTACCAAAAATTGATGATTATAACAAGCCTGTAAAAGTTAAATCTCAATGGACTCGTACAAGTCAAATGGAGTTAGCATTAGAAAATTCTACATCCCGTCAAACTAATAATACTCAACCTATAACTAATTTATCTAAATATGAAAAACTAAACGACGAATTTACAATGGCTGTTTCATCCACAAATGGTGTAATTAATCAAATTAATGAAAATACAAATACAAATGATTCTAGAAAAATCATTAAAATAAATGATGTAGAAATCAAAAGTTGTTGTGTTGTTGTAGAAAAATATGATGAAACTGTACACAAATTCGATGATTCAGTACAAGTGAAAAGAAAAAGAGGTAGACCTAAAAAGAATAGTAATAATATTAAAGTTAATACATCAATAAATTCGAATATTAAAAAACAAAAACCGGTCAAAAATAATACAACTGTTAATTTGGATCCTAAAAATACTGGTGAAAAAAAAGTTATAAAAAGAGGTCGCGGCAGACCAAAAAAAAATGAAATCACATCGACCATTATTCAAACACCACCAAGTGTATCTAATTCGGTTGTAGCAAAAAAAAGAAAAACACAAAGTTCTGCTACTGTAAACAAGCGAAAAAAATTGAAAAGTGATCAATTTAAAAATGAAGATCTTAACAATTCAAAATTATCCAAATTAGATCCAGTACAACCCTCAGAAGTGTATACTAGTGGAGCAATAAATTCTATAAATAATAAATCAAGTGAAAATTCTTCTAGTTCAGATGAATTAAAAGTAAATAAAAACGGTTCTGTGACACCAATCCTAATATTTCCAGACGATGGTGATGACTTGAAGTGTGTAACCTTATCACGAATCGATATACCAGAAGGCACATCATTGATTACTTTGGGAAGTTGTGATAGACCATATCTACAAGAAAAAACTGAAAGTATGATTCATAAAAATTCTAATGAGTTAAATACACAAGAAAAAACTACACATAGTGTTAATTTTTTAGAAAAATGTGATAATTTAAAT